TTTCCGCGCATAAAACGTCAAGCCCTTTCCCCAATCATCGATGAGGTCGCAAGAATTTTCGAACCTTCCCTCGCCATCTGGCGTCGGACAATCATCTGCAAACTCCCGACCCAGCCACGTCGCATTCATACACTCCAGCATCCGTCCAACTCGCGGGGTCCAAGTATCGAGCGCCATGATCTTCCCCTCCTTATGCCACGGATGGCTCATTATCTCTGCAGTGATGATTGCCGCGGGACTTGTCGGAAAACACATGTCCGCAGCGACCTGGAAGACCGGTAGAAAAGCGGGCTGGTAGAGGCTTAGTAAGAGCGTAGAGGGCGCGATGGAGAGGTATTGGTATGGCTCTGATACCACCGTAATGGGAGGGTTGCACTGAGAAAGCATGACCATATCTTCGCGTTTATAGGCCGTGTCGCGGGCTACTATTGGAATAGGCGTTGGTGTGGAGGACGTGGTAGAAGTGGCGGCGTATCGCTGCGATAGGTAGGTCGAGATGGTGCAGGCGAGGACGTGCTGTGTAGCTGAAGTATCTTCCTTTCTGCCTTCCTCCTCTGTTCCGTGTATGGTTCCGAGCGCTACACAAACAATGTTGTCGACTTTTACGGTGAGAGCGTCGAGCTGCTCTCGTACAATGACCCAGAACCTACTTTGTCGCAGACTTGTCTCGAGGACTTTCGGGATTCCGTTGTACTCCTCGGATGTAGAGCAACGCGGGCTCGCCTGCTGATATGTATTCTGAAGGTCATTGGGCTTCAGCGCCCTGGTATCACTAAATTCGTACTTAGTATCCTGGTGGTTGGGAGTCCTGATGTGATACGCTGGGCGCATCGTGTCAGAAGCACCCATGAAGACTCCGCTTCCGCTGAAACTCAGGCTGACCGCGGGCGAGGCACACGGTGGGACACGCTTCTCCACTCGTCCACTACCTAGTACACGCGGTAAAAACATCAATGGCATGTTTGGATCGCCTTTACGAACTATCTCGATTTGCTCTGCTGCTTTTTCGAAGAACGCGCGGGTGAAGAGTATTCCGTTGTCCAGGGAGGCTTCGAAAGCCCTAGCATCTTCGAAGACTTGTGGACCGTACGATTGGCATTGCTTTTCTCTGTCGTTTTCGATACGTTGGGCCATGTCGCTGCGTTCTTTTCTAGATGATGAGGATGTGGGGTTTGCGGGAGCTTCTGCTGGTCCTGCGATTTCTTTCTGCGCTGACATGGTGTAGTAGATTCAAGTCTAAATTCTCAACTGCTGCTTGGTGAACACAGGTCTGATGCGGCGAAGAGAACCAGACAAAGTGCCGTTTTTGCACAACTCAGGACAGCATTGTTGCGGCGCTAAGGTATGAGCAACTCAAAGGGTGATGGAACCTTCACAGTGTTCAATGTAGAGTGGAATAGTGAGCCTGCGCATTTGTTAGGCGAAAAGCTTTGACACTGGAGCTGTGAAAGATGATTTTGGAATCCACAGAGGAAACAAACGTGAATTAAGTGATAGGAGCCTGTATGGTAGACATAACGTGCATTCACCGGCGCAGTGATAGCATTGTCTCCACAGTGGCAAGTCTTTGGAATCACCATACTCCTTATCAACAAGTCTGGTGTGAACGTCAGAGATTGTGAATCGCTCGGATCGCGATACCATGAGATGGGGGTGCTAGAACCAGATCAAGATGTTGAGTAACCCAGAAATCTGAGACATAAAAGCTTCGTCTTAATGAACCCCCACAACACCCCTTCACTTAAACTGATCCTCCGTAACACCCTTGCCCATAGCCGCCGTAGAACTAACACCACCCGACACCATCTTCAGCAAATTATCCACATAATTCGCGCCACTCCACTTCTGATGCGTAAGCACATCGACCTTGTTCTCCGCTTCCGGCTCCTGGATAATCTCGCCGTACGCACGCATACCCTGCTTCGCATACGCCTTGGAGAACGTATCGGCCATGAGCGCGCTCTGGTGCAGACCAGCGAGCGTGATGAACTGCCAGCAGTAACCCAGCTTGGCCAGGCGCTGAATGTAGGTTTCTTGCTCGTCGCGTGGCATGGCGGCTTTCCAGTTGAAGGAGGGGGAGAGGTTGTATGCTAGTCTGTTGTGTTGTTAGTGCGTGTAAGGGGAAGTGGGTGGAAGAAGACGTACTTCTGCTCGGGCCAAACGGCATGGACGCCATCAGCGAATTCTTTCGCCTGCGCGAAATCGGGCAGCTTTGACTCCATCCAGATCATGTCGCAGTAGGGCGCGTATGCGATGGCGCGGTTGATGGCGGTTTGGCAACCGCCTTGGTACCTGTAGTAGCCCTCGCGCGTCCTTGCGGCGTCCCAGTTGAAGTACACATCTACGCCGGTCAGGCCTGCGGCGATGGCGCGAGCTTCTGAGTTGCTCTTGCCCTTGCTCTTTTCCATGAACTCGTTGATCATGCTTTGCTTGTCGACATGTACACCGGCGTTTATCGTGTCGATTACGGCCTCGTGGTATAGTTTGAGGTTGGCCTCCTTCGTCCATGCATCTTCGATTGCTTGGAGCTCCGCGCCTGTCTTGCCGGCTTGTTCCGCGGCGTACATGAGCTCGCCCAGAGGCTGGAGGGCAGGGTTTGTGCAGCCTAGAATGTAGTGGTGGTCGCGTGGGTCGATGGTAGAAGTGATCAGGGTGGCGGCTTCTGAGTCGGTTCTGGCAACGGCAAGTAGGTCGGTTCCTGTCATTCGAATGTCAGCCTATGTCCAATCTGATGCTTAGGGTTCATCGTCTTACCCATGATATCCGCCTGCGCCCTGATAGCGACCAGACGGTTGATATGCTCGCTGATCGGAACCAACACCTTTCCAGCCATATGTCCGCACTTCTTTGTTCCTGGCGCTTGATCCTCGATATGTATACCCGCAGCACCCTTCTCAATGAACAGCTTCGTGAGCTTCATGATAGCTGTAAGACCTCCATGTCCAGTATCGGCATCCGCGATAATCGGTCGTAGGTAGTCTACACTGGCGACTTTCGCACGGTCGGCTTTCGCGGTGGTCAGGCGTTCTTCGCGTTGCTTTCGGTCGTGGAAAAGCTGGGCCATGAATAGGTGACCAACTTTGTTGGGGACGGTTGTCTTTTGTACGTTAGCTTTCGTTACCCATCACCATTCACTTCTGTGGCTTACATAGGGGTAGTCTGCTAGATCTGGACCTGGCTCGTCGGTCGATGAAGCTGTTGAGGATGCTTGCCATCCAGAAACGTACACTGTATCTAGATACTTCGCCATCTGTGTAACCATGACAGGGTCAAGACATCCGTATGTGTAGCTGACGTCGTTGTTCTACATATTGTTAGCTTGAAGCTTGAAGTGTAGCATGACTACCATACCTTGAAGCGTCCTTCCACAATCTCCCAGAGTTTCTTCGACTGGTGATTGCTTGGGTAGGTGATCTTAAGGTTACCTCTCTTCGAAACGATATCCTCAGCAGTAAACGGCCTCCTCGTATACCTCCATCTTGAGTCCGTCCACCACTGCTTAACTTCCTGAACTTCCTTCTGGAACTGCGCGTCCTCGGCGTCAATGTTCGCCATGATGAGTGATGTCCAAGATGCGTAATAACAACAGAAAAGCTAGGTATTCTCGACACGACGGATGTGTGTCTGAAGAAATGTGAACAAAAAACTAGAGGGAAAGCTCGTCCTTTGATAAAGATGACCAGCAATGACACCACACGCACTCTAGCCTCGGTCTACCGAGCCAGGAACCTTTGGGGGGAAAGCCAAGCGCCTTATAACCATAGCCATCAGCATACTCACACCAGCACGGCTAGCACAGCACCCCAAGTGAGCTCGGGGACGACCGGCTGGACGCACCATTGGCCCGACTGCTGCATCCTCGGAAGCTGGCAGCAACGTCTAGCGCTGGCCATGCACTTGCCTCGAGCGTTGTTTTGCGTTGCCCTCGGCCCAAGGGGAATTGACGTTTTGGAAGGCTGACCAGTGTAGATCGGGGTGGGGATGGGGGACCAGCGGAACCGTGACGGGGATGACGTTTGCCAATGGTCTTGGGTCAACTCGGTTTGGACAGAGCTGCATCCTTCGTTATCCTCCTACTCCTATATCACAGTTCCCATCTCGATGCACTGGAGATGCTGTTCGGCATGACACGCGACAGTATGCTGCAGCTTCACATGTCGATGTTTTGTGCCTCCGCTTACTGGTTTTCTGGTGCATGTGAAGACGCACGCCAAAATCTGGGGTCGCGTGTTCGCTAGCGTCGCGCGGGTTTTACCTCGGTTGATCCTGTCCGGAAAAGGCCTGGACCGCTATTGATCTGCGACTTTCACAAGCAGGCATCTTCGCTGTTTAGGGCGCTTTTTTCTCGGAAAACACGTGAGTGGTGTCATTGTTGCGTCTGGAATATCTCGGATAAGGCTCGCTCGGCAGCAGTGACGATCCCGGCAAATGCTCGTGGCTGGGCGTTGTACCGCCATGTGCATCACCGTTATTCGGGAAGTATGTTGACTAGTTGAATTGTAGTTAAAGAGGAGAGTGATCTTTGTTTCATCTGGACCCCTTCAAGAATTCATACATGTGACACGAGTACACCGCCAACATGCTCTTCCCCAACGACCACCAACCCCAGTAATCCATCGCAAGCGCATTGGAGCATGCCGACCAATCCCTCCTCATCACCAAACCTTCTAGACATTCAGCTGATAGCAATCCCGGTGTCGAGCCACCCCAACTCATCAGCTGCCGAGCAGCAACATAACACAGCAAGATCCTGATCACCAAATCCACAAGCCCAACTATCTCTGTAAACCCAAAACAAAAGCGCTGTGCCAAGAAAAGCTTGGTAACGGTCCTCCGGTACTCACAAGCGTACTGCTGCCCGAAGTAACCCCGGACATATCTATCCAGCTCAGAGAATGGCCTGGCGCGGATATCATCTACATTGACCGCGGAATTTTGCGGCGTGACTGAGTATGCAGGGTCGGCGGGTGGGCACCTTAACTTCTTGAGCAACCACCATCTCAGCTCATCGAGATAGCTTCTTCGAACTGGTGGCGTGTTCTCGTCTTTGAGGCGTATCGACGAGCGTTCTGAGAGTAGCAGAGGTAGGAGCTGGGGACGGCACAGCCATAATGTCCTGTTCCGTTCGTCGGTGAAGATGCATTCGCGATCGATAGCCTCGGATATGTAGGTGTAGTGGATGAGTCGCGAGTAGAAAGCTGGCGTAAGCACACGGATCTCGATGTTCTTGTATGGCCGGTTTCGACCAGGGACGTGTGTCGTAGCGATCTTATCGGTGGGGATGTTGGGAACCGACGCCTTGAACGTGATGCAAAAGTCTACTTCGGTTTGGTTTACGAGTACGTGTAGGTAGTTTCTGAATACTTTGTAGAGTGTTCTGGGATTGTTAGTTACATTCGGGTAGTGCCTCACGCGTACTTACATCTCAGCGGAAGTGGGAGACCGACCAACGCTCGACGTTAGCACCTCCGGCCGGAACCACACGTGCAACTTCCTCTTGAAAAAGATCTTGCCAGCTTCTCTGACGATGCGCGGGAACGTTACGAAGCCTACCCACCACCAGCTCAGGATGAACCGCAGAGTTCCGAGGAAACCCAATTGATCCGGGTCAATGGCCTTTCCAGTAGAGAAGAGACGAGCTACAAGCTTCCCATGATCCTTCGAAGATTTGAGGGTAATCGTATTGTCGATCAGAGGGTTCTCGTAATGCACAGAAGGGAATGGGTTTTGGGCCTTCAGCGTATACGAACCTTTTCGAGAGTTGAACGGCGAAACATGGAAATCTTTCATCCATACATCGGTAAATTTCGACTTCGCCCGAATAGGTATCTGCGGTCCGTGTTCTTCGGATCCAGACGTTTGTTCAGAATCAGATGTGCGCGGCGGACTGGCAGGACTCGAGCCGTCAAGCAGATACATGCGTCTTTCTCCGAATGTGTTGTTGACTTCGAGTATCATCTTCACAAGCTGATGTTCGCGATCGTAGATATACCAGAACGAAACCGGATTGAATGCGTAGCCCAAGAAGCGCGGTGCCGTCACCAGGTAGGCATACTCCCATTCCGCATCTTCAACATGCTGAGCCCGCAAGTACGACCTCAGTTTCCAGTAGAATCCGGACGCGCCGCCACCTCGTTCCAGATAATCCTCCGCTCTTATCCGCAACCACCATTTACCCAAAGTCTGGTCATCTCCGCTTGCGAACTCTATCCCCTGGTATTTAGCTCCGCTTGGAACGATGGGAAATCCGCACTGAAGGTATGAGTATGCGAAAGCATGACGCTTCGGAAAGATTCGAGCATGCGACGTTTGGCACGGGAAGATCTTTGGCTTTGGCGTTTCCACATCAGATCTCCATCGACTGATATCAGGCGTGTTCGCAATTGGATCCTCGTTGCTGCGAAGACTGCGCCATAGAGAAATCGCGAGGATAGCTAGCGGTATTGCGACGCTGAAAACGGCATATGTACCAGGCAACCCTTCAGCCCAGCCCCTCCAATCATTCCAACTCTTCAACACAGTCGCAACCAATTTCTCTCTCGCCAACCAGGCATACAAAACCCCAAGCACCGCGCAATCCGTGAGGACCCCACGATCTCCACGCCGCCGTCTATAAACACATCCTCCGATCCAAACCGCGAGCATCGGTACCTTTTGCCACCCATCCAAAGCAGCAAAAAGCAGCGGCAACCCCACAGCCGCGCTTTCGAAAAGGGAAACTCCCAGATCGCGATCGTTACTAGCAATCCGCATTAATGAATGTATCTGTTAGTATCACCGTGACATTGAGGGATGTTGTGATGTGGATTGTTGGTGGTGCGATAAGTGTCAGATCGAAGCGTGGTTTGACGCTAGACCCTTCTCATGAAATGTATATGCAGGGTCCCTGGGTAAAGCATAGCCGCCGCGAGAAATCCCCCATCTGGAGTTAGTCAGGACCAGAGCCGCATCGTCGAAGACGGCGAGGAGCTTTGATGAGACGGCGATGTAGGGCTTTTGTTTGAACGCCGACTTGTAGAGCTGGTGGGGAGGAAGACAGGAGGCTGAACCGTTGAGGAAGGTGGGTCTAGAGCTGTAGCTCGGCGATAGGTGCGTCATCGGGGTTAAGTCGGCATCATCATCAAAGCTATCGATAGCATACCGTATGCTCAGGTACAATCTCAATGATCAAGCCTCTATTCCCCAAGTCGGCGCCATCGACATTTGAGACCTCCACCACCTCCCTTCCGCCTCCCCCACCCACCCATCAGTGCTCAGCTCGAGCGCGACGCGACGCGACGCCGCCTGCAGTCTACGCGATGACCGGACTTCGAGCCGGCGCCACGATTTGGAATGATGCGTGACACACAAAAGCATGCAGCAGTACCGACGCATGCGTCTCCTCCCCCTAGCAGCATGTAAGGCCCAAAGGCTGTTTCTCATCTGGACGCCTTCTCCCTTGTCGTCCCCATACAACGGATGAGGAATATCGATTCCCCCCTCGTCCCAAGCACATGCCCCTAGACGCGGGGGTATAATCACAGTGTCGACAAATCAGCTGTCTCGAATACTAATCGCGTAACCGATGGTTACACTGAACTCCACGTTCTGGGGCGGCTTATCTCAGCCGAGGACCAGGTTCGCCCACGAGAGCGGTGTTGGTCGCTGACAGGTAAGCGATTGCCCACGCAATGAACAGTGAAATCCGGTCTTGGCTTGTATTGCATGGCTGGGCAGGGCGTAAGGACTTCATGGTTGCGCGCCTGCTTTGAGTTCTGGCCCTGGAGCTTTCTGCGCGTAGCGAATCTTACACGCTTGCAAAATTGTGAGGTCTCAAATGCTACCTCAGATCAGCGCAGAGAGCCTTGCGGATTTTCTGGTGGTATTGCCGGCACACTGGAGTCAGGAACTGTCGGTCCAGAAGAAAGCGACACAGGCCGAACAAACACAGGCGTCGGACTTGTAAGCGCACGAATACGCGCCCTGAGTTCTTCCTCTTCCGCAGCATGACCAATAGCAATTCGGTCCCGAACTCCGTCATCTGCAACTTCCTTGGCTGGACAACAAGCCCGCGTCGGCATCTCCAGGGTACTAATGCTGTCTCTACGGAATCGCAAGTCTCTGTCGATTTCCACGGCAGGTAGTCCGGGAAGCGAGCTGCGCGCCCCATAGTAATAGTAAGGGCTGTGGGATTGGCGGAAGCCGAGTATTCGGTTCAAGATGCGTTTGAAGAGAGGTTGGATGGATGGTGCTGATGCGCAGATGATGGCTGTGTTGATCTCGACTTGGGACCTACAGTGCTATCAGTAGCTGTCTCAGATCTACGTTCTGTACGAGTTTCACTTACCAGAAGATGATGTATCCCCCGTAGTACCGAGCGTGTAATCCGCTATTGGCCCAGAGGTTCAGCCCGCAAAGCCGTACTGCAGATGCTATGGGAATGAGAAGACTCACAGCAAACACGGCTATGACTGATAGGCGTTTGGCTGTTCGCATGCGCAGTGAAAACAGAAGTGGCATCGGAAGAAGTAGTATGACGACGTCGGATGCGATACTCCAGCCTGCTTGCCAGTAGAGAATGATCCTTAAATCGAGACAGTAGACGGAGCCCCTGTCTCGCAATATAGCAGCGCCGAAAGCGACAGAGGGCTTCTTGGGACATTGAAAGGCGATAATAAAGATCAAGATGATCGTAACAGCGGTGACGATGACGATCGATATCTGGACTAGTCTTCGAAAGGTTCGTTGGGTTGCAAAGCCGAGGTAGACTGGAAGTGTAGGGATTAGATTGACGTGCATTTGGACGACATAGTCAAGGATTGTACTTACAGACGAGTATTGAGAGCTTGATGAGACCCATTATGAACTGATAACCGATATGATATGCGTACCCTTCCAACCGTCAGGATGATCTTGTGTTTGCCAGCACAGCTACTTACATGTTGCCACAGCACCTAAAGCGTAGCGGTCCAATTTCGACTGCTCTGCTTTGACCTTGTGGTTTGCTTAGCATGTTGCTGTAGCACGTCCGATACTTCAAAACACTTATTCTCACCTTTGATCTGACGCCTGGGTTGTAATCGACCCCGGAACCAAATAAGAACTGATAATGGTTGCAGGCGCAAAGCCCCCAAGTGAAGACCCACGGTCGATTAGTATATGACAGTTCACAACTTGGTTTCAACTTACTAATGCCGTTGCCATTAAGTAGTCACTTAGATTAACCTTTCTGATGATCCATCCTCGCACGTAGAACCTAATATTGATGAGCACAATGGGACAAGGGTAGAACAATGAGTATAGAAAACGAACCGAATAGCGATCACTACTGTCGAGAGGGCCACCAGGACGAAAGCTGTGATTTCGATAGTGGGCCGTAGATCGTTTGGGCTAAACATCTTGACTGCACCCATTCTTGCCCGGCATCGGAACAGTGACGTTGTAGCGGTATTTGCAGTATGGAATGGACGTTTGTAAATGAGTGTATGGACGACGTGCCCTCAAGTGTATGATACGAAGCACCAAGACTCGTTTCGATGCCCGGCACGGGCTGATCATGAATCGAAAGACTGGGAATACCCGTACACTTAGCGAGCCACGAGGTAAACCACGGGCTGGGGACTTGCGCTTCGGTAGCGCCACGATCATCTCGAATACCTAGTCGAGCAGGGCGTTTCTCGGCATCCGCAAATCCGTATACCCCACGACCGGCAACCACCATGGGCGTCAGTCTGTACCCATGTCATATCGGTATCTGTCAGATGGTACAGTCACTGTGATTAGTGCCTTGAGCTTCCAGCTAGGATGTTGTATATTGGAGAAGTGAAACCATGGAGAGCGATGATGGCCAATCGATCTAGCTACTGCGTACGTTCACCCTTCTGCTGAACTTGATGACTATTTCCGGGAGTTGTACCACTTCTTCACGGAGTTCGGTTGTGCTGCTGAGCTGACACCGGCATCTACTGACTCCTGCGTGTCAGGTCATGCAGGCGCAGACGATGAACTTTGCACAAGTGGTAGGCCAACCAGAATGGCGAAAGCCGATGCGGCGCAGTTGATGACGGCTCTCATCTCAACAAGGTTCTGGAGTGAGGTGCGGTCGAACGTGTTCACGTGCTTTCTGCAGGTTTGTATTGGGGCGCCTCTTCTCAACGTGATGGATGATGCCTGCAACTCGGGAGGTATGATGAGGATTTGACCTTGCACTTAGCATATACGTGAGGCGGGGACGGCTTATGATGCTATGCCACCAAGGGATGATACCGTGTCTGGCCCCCCATAAATGTAATTACCCGCGGCTAGTCCGATGTTGGTGTTTGGCGGGTTCAGCCACTACGAAGCGAGCAGCCCAACGGCGCGGCTTGGAGCTGACTGGACGAGTTTGCCTTGCGAGTGCGTCAGAACCAAGCATGAACCGTGAGAAATTCTGCGTCCACGAGACTCGCCCGATTGTTGGGGCTTTGCCATAAACTGTCGACGCAAGGTCAAACTCTCGATCGGGAGCAGGGATGTTAGACATGGTAATCGAGGCCTGGTGAGCGATCACAAGAACTTGGTTCGACTACATGGAGGGGACCGCGGAGAAGAAAAGCGTGGAAGCATGATGGAAGCGCAGAGGCCATTCAACGTGAATGTCCTGCATGCATGCGCATGGGGGGATCCGGAGAGCGACCAGGCGTGCCAATGAACTGTGCCGTCACCAAGCATAGAAGACTGGCATTTGGATCAGCGAGCGGAAATGATGGTAAACGTTTGATCTGAAACCTGAGCGAGACTCGTCGCACGTTGAAAGGCGTTGTTGTTGGCGGGCACTGGCAAGGCATTGGACAGCGGGCGCGCGAGATGAGCTAGGGGAAGCGTTCTAGTCTCCCAGGCACATTCAGGGTCTTGGGCATACGTCAGCACGCCGTGACGATCAACAACCCAAAGTACGAGGGAGAGGAGATTGTCAACACAGACCTGCGCAGTGCTATACTACGTACAAACTTCACTTATACAGTCTGATTGAATACCTTGTCACTTCACACCACTGAGTCTATTGATATCATTCACTGTAGCGCAAGAGAGCCCAAGGCCTGTTGATTAAAGGTCAAGGGTGTATCCCACTCGGCAACTTCCCTGAACTTGGAAAGCGACGATAGCCACCGCGTGACGACACAGGGACAGGTTTATTGCTCGCCATAGGCCCGACTCGCAGCTTCTTGTATAGGGCGCTCATCTCGCCTCTTGCGCTGTTTTCCACTTTGCGACACGAACAGAGCAGATATCACCATGAGCGCAACGAACACGGCAGCCGCAGCCCCTCAGCAGCCCAACCCGCCCGCATCCGTCGCACCCGCATCGAGCGCGACCAAGTCGACCGACGATGGCAGCATCCTGAGCAAGGGAAAGAAGCTCCTGGGCCTGGGCAAGAAGAAGGATTCAGAGGCCGGTAAACAGCCAACAGAGAGCGCATCAACAACCACGACTCCGACACTGCTCCCCTCGCCCCCAATGTCACCTCCCGAGCAACGAGCATCGCCGCGAGGAAGCCCGCGCATGCTGCCCATTGGCGCATCTCCTGGTCGGCGCATCCGCTCTACGTCGCCCGGTCTTCACAGTCCCGCTTCGTCGCTCATCTTCGAGCGCAATGTACAGGAGCCCGAGCCCTCAGCCGACGTGCCCGCCCACATCAAGACAGAGGACCACATACCCCCCGCGCTGGATGCGACGTCCCTGGCCATTACCGACAACCACCTCAACCCCGACGAGGTGGAGATTATAACACACACGGCGCATCAGCCAGCCGCCGTCGCAGTTGCGGGCAGCATAACCGACTCCCTGCACTCGCCACCTCTCCCTCACACAGAATCTGTGGCGTCCAGCCATGCTGACGTGCCAGACTCAGCACCCGGATACGGCTCGCTGGACACGGCGGATCCCCGGCGCTTGAGCTTCATCTCATTCGCAGACGTGGTGCAGGCAGAGCATGTTGAGCACGACAGGCAGGAAGTGTTGGGCGCCACGTCGACGGAGGCTCTGCAGTTTATGAGCCTCTCGTCGACAGCGAACCGATCGCCCTCGCCAGTGCGGTCTGCGGCGTCTTCGCCCCCAACCACAAGCGGAGCGGCTTCGCCCAAGCACGCAGATCTGTCGCGCACGCGGTCACCGGCGAGTCCTACGTCACCTGTCGTGCTCGGCAGCCCACACCCAGCGTCGGGCGAAGAGCTGCCAGTGCAAATTGAAACGATGCGACAGGCGCTGCGCAAGACGCACTCGGGCGACCTCAGCGGTGCGCGCTCGCAGCCATTGAGCGCGGCGAGCGTGGAGGAGAGCGCGGCTGACAAGCCCCCGTTCAAGTGAGGAGCATGGACATGGAAATGGACTAATTTGATTTCGCAATGTTGGGAGGTTATAGGCAGGCAGTGGGGTTATTGGGAGGTTCAGATATCCACGAGGCGCCGTTTGCAGTAGTTGTTCGATACCAATGCGGAGAGAATGCTATGTTATATGTTGCGTGTTATCTTATGCTCTGATCTGCAGTCGTGTCCCCTGCATACATGTCGATTCTAGAATCGGTGAAGCAGATAGATGAGACGTCGGGCACAGGGACGTTGGGCACCCAAGCGCAGCTGGGTAGAGTCGTCAGCTGGCGTCGCGGTGCTTGGGCCGGGGCGCGGTGATTTAGCGATGCATCTCAGCGGCGCCAAGGCTGGGTGCTAGTCGTGGCCATGTTGGCTCGCTAGGGCTGGCGGTGGGCCTCTGACTACCTAACGACAGACCATTTTGCCCGCGCAACGAGGCCTGCGATGCGCCTCACGACACCAGACGCCAGTCCTGCCGCGCCCCCGCCGCCCTCGTCCGCCGTCACCGCCGTCCCGCCAGCGCAACGGCTACCAGCTGCCAGAGCCGGGCCGCCTGTCGTGTGTCAATGAGCAGCAGACGACACCGCAGCGGTCCGCATCCATGGACCAGCAGACGCAGCAGCGACGCAGCCGGAGGGAGGTGAGCGCCTCCGAGGCCGCCCAGGGCGTCTACTCCCTCCACGAGCGCGACGACGTCCGCCACGCCCACACCATCCGCACCGTCACCCCCGACGACCCGCCGCCCTCGCAGACGACCACCACCTCGACCGCCACGGCCACGATCCCCGAGGACGGCCTGCCCGTGCAGACGTTCCAGTCCCCGCCCAACAGCCCCCGCTCCCACAACAGCCAGCTCTCCAACTCGCAGCGCACCGCCAACCCGCGCCAGTACGTCGCCCGCGCCTCGAGCGACTCCGAGTACCGCAATGCGCGCGAGCAGACACGGCCCCGGACCCGCACCCTCGAGGAGCGCAGCACCCGCGAGCGCTCGCCCTCGTCCGTCTTTGGCTCCGGCCGCCACCGCATCGGCTCCGTCGCCAGCAACCAGAGCAACTACCAGAGCCTCGAGGAGTCCGTCGTCACCTCCATCGGCCACATCTCCACCATCTCCCCGCCCCAGCAGCCGCCCCGGACCTCAAGCACCAATAGCCGCAGCCGCCTGACCAAGCAGCAGCAGCAACAGCAGCAGGCCGCCCACCGCTCCACCTCGCCCGTCCTCTCGCCCTCCAATGTCCCGCCCGACTCGTGGGTCTCGCCTGTCCCGGCGTCCGACGCTAAGAAGCTCAAGGCCCTCATGCGCTCCACGTGCGGCAAGATGCAGGGTCTGCTGGCCTTCCGCCGCGGCGAACCAAACCCCTGGGGCCTGTCGTACTGCTACATCAACGACGAGGCCGGCAGCCTGGTCTACGAGCCCAAGAACGACACGTCGTACACCCGCACCCTCATCCCCGATCTCCGCGGCTGCCATGTCAAGAGCGCCTACGACGGCGAAGCCTACACGGCCTACATCCACGTCGTCGTCCACAACTCGAAGCTCGAAGTCCACCTGCGTCCCCCGACCCAGGAAGAGTTCGACTCGTGGTTCGCCGCCCTCTTGTGCTGGTCGCCCATGCGTCCCAAGGGCATCCAGAACAGGATGGCCAAGCCCCAGGCGCCCGTCATGATCGAGCGCCGCCTTCCAGACAGCCGACGGCATTCCGAGGTGTCGCTCCTCAAAGACTCACCCAAGAAGGAAGCGCCCATCATCAAAGTCGGCAAGATGATTTACTGGGACACTAGTGTAACATACAGCAGCAATACAGGCACCCAAAAGAACAATGGGCCCGGGGGACGCCCCCAGGCGTACAGAGTCCAGAGCCACGGATCCCGCCGCTGGAGAAGAGTGTCGTGCACGCTCCGTGAGAACGGAGAGCTCAAGCTCTACTCCGACACCGATGTCACCCTTGTTTCCACCGTTCAGCTTTCCCAGCTTTCCCGATGTGCCGTTCAGCGATTGGATCCCTCCGTTTTGGATAACGAATTTTGCATTGCCATATATCCCCAGTATACCGCTGCTTCTTCTCCTGCATTAACAATCCTGCGTCCCATATTCCTATCGCTAGAGTCACGAGTTCTGTACGAGGTCTGGATCGTCCTCCTACGCGCCTTCACCGTTCCGCAACTATATGGCCCCAAATCGCCGGACGCCATGACCGACGAGGGCACTTTGTCACCGTCTTTCGGCACCCAAGACATGTTCCGCATGGAGAAATCATTGTTCGTGAGGGTCATTGAAGCGAAACTCATTCCGCCTGTAAGCCCCAAGGTCTCGGATAGCAACGGAACGACCCCAATACGACCGTCTTCGTCTGCTACAACCAACCCGGGTGGCTATCTCGTTGAAGTGCTACTAGATGGAGAGACACGTTCACGAACTACGGTCAAGAGCGAGGGCAACAATCCGTTTTGGAGAGAAGAGTTTGAATTCCTGGATCTACCCGCTCTACACACTGCTTCATTACTCCTGAAAAAGCGACCGCCGAGCTACAACCGCACCGAAAAGAGCGGTTTCGAGGCCACCAACTCCGACCCATATGTCTCCGAGGGTGGTTACGCTGGTATCTCTTTCGATCAGACTGTAGGAAAAACCGACATCTATCTGGACGACCTCGGCCCGAATCAAGAGACGGAGAAGTGGTGGCCGCTTATCAACATGTATGGAAACAGTGTCGGCGAGGTACTGGTCAAAGTCAGCAGCGAGGAATGCGCGATTCTCATGGCTCGCGACTACTATCCACTTTCGGAACTTCTCCACAGGTTTTCCAACGGAATAACACTTCAGATCGCCCAGATGATCCCGAACGAGCTCAGGAGGTTATCAGAATATCTCTTGAACATCTTCCAGGTGTCCGGGGCAGCTGGCGAGTGGATATGCGCGTTAGTCGAAGAAGAGATTGATGGCACATTGAAAGAGTCACCTGCTAGTCGGTTACGGTTCAGTAAAAGACTGGGATCAAGTGAATCGAATGAATCCTCGCTGGCCACCTTTGGTTCTGCGAGCGACCGCGAGCTCTTCGTTCGCGACATGGGCAACAATGCCAAACTGGAGGCCAATCTGCTCTTCCGCGGTAACACCTTGCTTACGAAGTCACTGGATTTGCACATGAAGCGACTTGGGAAAGAGTACCTGGAGGAGACTCTGAGCGAGAAGCTGAGAGAGATCAACACCAAGGACCCTGATTGTGAGGTTGATCCAAACAAAGTCACATCACAACACGAACTAGACCGGAACTGGAGAAGGCTGATTAACTGTACTGAAGAAGTTTGGCGAGCCATCTACAACTCCGTGGCGAGGTGTCCACAGGAGCTGAGATTGATCTTCAGGCACATCAGGGCCTGTGCTGACGACCGCTATGGAGACTACCTCCGGACGGTGCAGTACAGCAGTGTCTCTGGCTTCCTGTTCTTGCGCTTCTTCGTTCCAGCGGTGCTGAACCCGAAACTCTTCGGCTTACTGAAAGGTGCGAAGTTCTCCACTTCTGCTTTACCCATCTCGCTAACAGTCATCTAGATCACCCCAAGGTCAAAGCTCGAAGAACGTTCACGCTCATTGCAAAGTCACTGCAAGGTCTGGCGAACATGTCTTCATTTGGCACAAAAGAAGCATGGATGGAGCCCATGAACCAATTCCTCACCACGCATCGGCAAGAGTTCAAGAAGTATCTCGACGATATCTGCTCAATATCAACCACTTCGCAACCCGCACCGCCGATACCGCCATCTTACAGTACTCCGATCGCGATTCTTCATCGTCTGCCTCCGACGTTCAAAGAAGGGTTCCCATCATTACCATACCTCATCGATCATTCACGCAACTTTGCAATGCTAGTCAACCTCTGGCTAGACAACACACAGAAGAGTGCGCCTGACATACAAGCCACGGACGGTGATCTCCTCCGTTTCCACAACATCTGTCTGTCTCTCAGCGAACGCACCAAGGACTGCCTGAATCGCGCTGAACCTGCCGAACGGCCGTCATCGTCACTGAGTGTCAAGTGGGAGGAGTTGGTCGAGCAGCTACAAGGGGCGCAAATCGACACGTCACGAGGTGCAGCAACGAGGAATCGTGGACCAATACTGGAAGAAGAGATGGAGGAAACCCCGCTATCTCCAGGCGGCGGCGATGACTATTCGTCTTCGTCCACCAGCACACCCATCACCATGCAGCCACCACCTCGGGCACGGCATCAGCAAAATTCGAGCATCTCAGCATCTCAGAGCTCTTTGAAGAGCAACAGCTCGGCCACCATATCTTACACCAATCCCTTTGCGAAGAAGCAATGGTCTGGTCAATACACGCCGTCAGGGAACGACTCGGTAAATGCTTCTCAGTCCGCGTCTGCTTCGGCCAGTGCATCAGCATCGGCAACCGAGGATACACCACCGGGTTCCAGCGATGGTCTTCACATGGCCCCGGCGCCTTCCTACCCGCAAGCCTTGACTACGACGACGACGACCACGATATCTACATCTACCTCTACACAGTCCTTCAACTACAGCAATCCGAACTCTCACATCAACCAACAGAGACCTGCCGCTGTGTCGACAAACTCCCTCGTCGGACGACCACCTCGTTCAGCAGGCGGTCAGAGTATGGAAAACAGCGACAGCGGCAGTATCGCAGAAGAGGAGTACACAACCGCACTCCCCGCCTTCTCCGAGAAAGCCACCAAGGAGAAGAAGGAACGCGGCTTCCGAGGCGTCCTCCCCTTCCAACGAAAAGGCAAGCGCAAGGATAAAGACAAGGAAAAAGAGGACAAGAGAGACAAGGAACGAGACAAGGAAAACCGCAAAGACAAAGGCAAAGACAAGGACCGCGATCGCGACCGCAGCGCCGAACGCGGAACCAGCGCCCTCGGCGGCCACCAGAGCTACAACGACATGGGCAGCATGCGCGGCAAACACACCACCCGCGGCGAAGACCGCGACGAGGAATTCTGACTCCATGGATGGTTTACTGAAAGTCCTCGCGCGATTGCTAGACGCGAAATCAAGAGGAGGAAGAGTGCAGGCGAACTTTTGGATAAAGCGAGTCCATCGTAGTGGATATCTTGCTTTCGGAAACTCTCTTCGCTCTTTGTCTCTGTTCTGTCCCAGGGCGGCTGCCAAATCTATTTTGATTGGCAATTATCAAAAAAGCTAAAAGCTTGTACTTCATACACACACTCACATGTTGCATCGCCTTGCGTTTTGGGCGGGCTAGACGTCGATGGGAACAAAAACGCTTGCATGGCATGGGCATGGGCATAACATCACAACAAACCGGGACGCTGGTTCTGGGAGACGACTTTTACCTGAACTATTCTGTATTTGCTGCTACACGATGAAACTTTTGACGTTTTTACACATGGCGCGTTAGAGCGATGACTTGTTTGTTTATCGTCTTGGTCTTGGGGTTTTTTGATTCGTTTAGATTTTCATTTCTAGGGGGGTTGGCATGACAGGGTAGCCAGGCACGCAGTAAGGCATTTTAGGTTGGTTGAGGGGATGGATGGGTTGATGAGGTACGTTTCTTTTTGGGTGTACATAGCATTTGCAGAGTTTGGGGTTATGCATAGATATCAATGTGGTTGTTTGTCATGACTGTTTATGCCTTTTTCTAAAGTGATGGCTGTTGTATAGTGAGATGCTGTTGGTTACATCGAGGAGGTGGAATCTACATAGACTGCGTGCATCTACCGTCTTCTTTCACCCTCCCCTCTTCTTTCCTACTTCCTACTACCCTCCCTATAACTCTCCCCAAACACATCGCCTTCATCATCAGACTCGCCCATCTCTTCATCGCTATCTTCATCACCGCCGTCATCTCCAGAGTCTGAGTCTTCGCTCCGTCCCACCGTGTGGCTAGATGTCTCACTCTCTTCGTCCTCACCCTTGTCGCTCTCGAAATCCTCCATGCTCTCATCTGAATCTCCTTCGCCCTCACTAATCTCCTTTCCGTCATCTTCATATGCTGCCAGTGTAGTGCTGGAAGCCTCTGAGCGGCCTCGTGTATGACTAGACGCATCACTCTCGTCGCTCTCCTGACCATCTTCACGGAACGAGCAGGTTGCAGAATCTACAACACCCCATCTGTCGGAACGTGACGCTATCCTTTCCCCTGTTGCATTATCCCATCCCTGGATCATTCCTTCACTTACAGTGTCGCGGTTCCTGCGCTTGGTAGCATGCGTTGCGCCAATGCGGAATGAATCCTCTTGAGTGGACATGTCTGCAGTAGGGTTGTAAGAGTGGTACTGGCGCATTGTACCGTTGGAGCGGAAGCTGGTAGCGATGAGAGGACCGAAGGGGTTGGCGGAGGTAGTGTGGCTTGGTTTCTGTGGTGGGGTGGTGGGCATGGTAGGTGCTTTTGTTGTGATGGTGGTGTTGGAGATGATTGTGCGAGGTGGATATGGGTTGGAAAAGAGAGGAACGAACGACAGATGTCATATATGCAGCGAATACTCTACATTGAGACATTTGCTAGAAGAACTGGGCTACAAGACCTGTAGTTATCTTCGACAGGTCTCGTCAACATGTCATTTATCCAGACTGCAAAGTGAGACAAAACAGATTTTGAGTCACAGTACCAGACAATTCCAGTACGTGAGCGAAAGCATCTCATGCCAAAGTCGTTCCTCCCAGAGCGGACGCCAAGTTCTCCTCGTCTTCCCTCAATTTCTCGAAACCAGATCTCAAGAGCCTGAAGTCATCAACATCCATCCAAGGAACACGCGTGAGGTCCGAGCGAGGCCGGTTCTGGATAGCCTTTGGTGCCGGCAGTGACGGATCGATAGCCTGAACGAGTGAGCGGACAGGCTCGGAGTCCCAATCCACCGCAGCAAGTCCATTGTGTTGGCGCTTCGCTAGCTCTTCCATCATTCTAGCTTCGCGTATGTCTTTGAGCTGATTACGCATTTCGAAGATGTCGGTCCCGAGTTTCGATACTGCGAGAACGTAGTGGAGGATGAGGGAGGGACCGTACTTGTCGTAACTATAGAATACATTAGTTAGCATGGAGTCGTATGAAACGAGTGGCTTTCATATCATGTCAAACGTACTCGTCCTGAGAAATCTCGCCCTTCTCTCGCATGAACGGAATTTCCTTGGCCTCAAAGTCCACAACCCTCCTCAGAGACAGAGGCAGAGACTGCTTCGTCAACTTGCTCAGCGCATTGTCCAGACCCCGGATTGTCTTGACGTCGCGGACTATGAGGAGATCGAGTTCGCTGTGCATCCACATGTGAATGAACTTGTCCTGGCTTGTACAATCGTCACTCGTGTCGCGGAGGGAATCGAACCAGGCGGCGATGAACGCGTTCACGAAGTCGCGCACTTCGTTACCAGGTCCGCACATGTCGACGGGGAAGTCGAGCGACCACGCGTAGGCCATTCCGACGAGGTTGTATCGGACCATCCTATAGTAGCGAGAGAACGAGTGCTCGGGGTCGAGTGCGTAGAACCACAACCCTCGAACGAGGTTGATGTCTTGTGTGGTCGTAGCATCGAATCCAGTGAGACACAACTGCAAGAGAGTAATATTAGTGAAGCCGTTATCTGCGTGTACATAATGCACTTACCGAGTTGTAGTTTTTGCAGAGCCATTCCAGCTGCAGGTCGTGCGGGGCGGACGTGATGACAGCCTGGGGCGGCTGAAAGTAGATGCAGTTGATGTTGGGCTTCCTGATGACGCTGTCGTGTATCGCGGAGAAGACTAAGTCGAGGTTGGCTTTCGCCGCGCTGTCAAGAGCGGAGTAGTCGCGTGTTGCCATGGCCGGCGGCGGGCAACGGAATCGCGGTATCGCCAGTTGTAGAGGTGGTAAGTAAAAGAGTTGCCAAAGACCAGAGAGTTTGAATCGAATGTAAGAGAAGTTTCTGCCTAACTAGCCGGCCAGTGTTTGCGCGCGGCTCACCTTCACTAGCCTTGGCAACAGAGTCAAAATGTAATACAAGAAAGCAGACATGACATCACCAAGTTCTTGCTATAGTCCGCAAAAAGACGCAAAAATCATAAGCGTGACATTGCCAGCGTCAAACTACGTACTTCCGATCAGAAACATGTAGACCTTGGTGAGAGCAAAAAGAAAGGCGCATAGTACTGCAAAAAATAAGGCGCAAAGGTTGACTCACCCGTCACCCAACATCAGCCCCCTCCAGGGGAGGAAGGCCTCCGCTGAGATTCGAACTCCCGTACTTTGCGACAGGACTTGAACCTGCAATGGATAGAAGCGTGCGAACACGCCACTGAACCTTATTAAAGAGATCTTCTAAAGATTGTCGTATATATAGTAGAGCAACAGTAGGGCTCACATTGCAGAAAAAAGAAACATGACGTTGGTAAGATGATAGGGTAAGTGAAGGCAGAGTGAGAACCCAAGTGAAGGCAGGGTAAGAGCGAAGTAAAGGTAGGGCGAGAGCGCAAGTGAAGTCGGAGTGAGAGCGCAAATGAAGGCAGAGACTGGCGCGTGACTGTAGAGCAAGCAGAAAGCCGTAGTCGTAAAAGCAGATGCTTTTCGGGAAGTCATACTAGTTGTTGTATTGCGGCCACGAAGCCACCTCGGCCTGCCACCCAGGCATCTCGTGAGTCTTACAAGGGACAGTCTAGATAGTGTACAAATACCTCGGGTTGTCCTCGCCCATCTCAGCAATCTCCTCTTCAGTCTTGCCTTCGATCCTCCAGTCCTCCTTACCAGACAGCTTCCTGTTGTTCTTCATCCGGAAGTAGAAGTGCAGCGCAATGTAGATCGCGATACCGAGGGCCAGCAGCCCAATAGTAGCGCCGTAGCCCGGAATGTATGTTGGCGCGGTGTCGGCGGCGTACAAGAAAGGTGCCGCAACACCTGAGCAGTTACCGATGGTGATCTGCATACCGCTCGCGAAGGCTCGCTTTCCGTATCGGGGGTTGTTGACAGCGATCCAGGAGAAGGCGATTCCGGTGGCTACCCACAGGCCGAGCGCGACGATGAAGCAGCCAGCGAAGCTGAGGCCAAGTCCCTATACGCATGTGAGTACAGTGGATGAAGTTGTGGAATGTTGGAGGCCTACCTTGTTTGCGATGAGGAAGATGTACCCGATCATACTAACAGCGAGCCCACCTATACAGTAAAGACCTCTGTTTTGCGACTTATCGCTGAAGTATGCGCAGATGACGTAGGTAAGGAATCCGCAGACGTAGACGGGTATCGTCAACGCCTGAACCACTTGACGGCTCCATCCACCTCCGAGACCGTTGATGATGGTAGGTAGGAAGACGGAGAAACTGTAGAGCATGCCCAGCCCAACGAATTGCGCAATGGCATAGGCGTAGACCTTCCAGTCTTTCACACCCTTCATAACATCCTCGCGCGCGAGTTCCTGACCAGAAGTTGTTTGGCCGACTTCCTTCATTCGGAGCAGAACAAGGTTCCGGCGGTCTTCCTCGGTCAAAAAGCTGGCCGTCTCGGGGCTGTTGGGTAGGACGAAAGGTACGGCGATGGCGGTGATCACAGTTGGAATGCCGTTGATCAGGATGATCCAACGCCATCCGTTCCAGCCAGCTACACCATCGAGCTCACCGATCGCATAGGCTACAACACCCTGTGCTTGTTAGTTCCTTCCTTTTGGTTTGGGGAAGCGATACTTACACCCAGCCCACCCGCTAGTGCAGATGTACCATAGAAGCACGCCTGTCTCAAGCTAACGTTGCGCCGGTTGTAGAACATGCTCAAGTAAAGAATCACGCCTGGGAACAAGCCTGCTTCGAAAGTGCCGAGCAGAAGGCGGCAGACGATGAGTCCGGCGAAGTTGTTCACAAAGCAGGAGAATGTGGCCACCATGCCCCACATGAACATGAGACCTCCGAGATACCGAGCGGGCTTCATTCGCTTCAAGATCAAGTTTGACTAGGAGTTGAATTAGCATGTGTAGCCTATCCTTGGTAGACGCGGAGCTTACTGGAGTCTCAAATATCTAAGAGATGGTTAGTGAAAGTCATAAATGCTGAGTGAAAGCAATACTTACTACATAAGTGACGAACAAGATAGATACCGCAATTTGGAACTGATTGCTATTGGGATCCATGCCAAGATCCTCCTCCATCTTGTAGAGACGAGCATTTCCGATATTGACTGCGCGAAATCGTCAGTCTAAATCTCAAGATGAGCATACCGTACGCACCTCGATCCATGAAGTTCATCAAGTAGATCCAGCAGATCATGGGCACAATCCGGATGTCCAGCTTCCTCAGCAGCTTTGCTTCAGTGATAGGATCAATGTCAATCATCGAGGCGGATTGTTCGACATCTTCGAGTTTGAAAGGCGGGTTTGGCGATGTGTCCGAACCTTTCTCGTCCCTGTACTCCGGTTCCGTGAGCACGGGCCCATCTTTGTTTGCGTTCATGCTGTCAACGAACGAAAACAAAATTGTGTGAGTGCAATCTCGAGTTGGAGGTGTTTCCAGCGGGGAGGTAAGTTGCTGTGATCGTCGTCAACGGACCAAAAAGTATTGGAACCAGTCTGACCCTTATAACCCGAACACCTGGGGAAGGGTGCCCCAGCCCCATGGGGAAGCGAGATATGCCATGCGCTTGGTATACGGAGACGCACCGTTGGCATCGATCAGGCAGAAACACCGAAGCGAGTTTGATAATCTCGTCGTCGAAGTGCCGGTAGCCGTTCTTCCGCCCTGGCGTGCTTGGAGGCTCTGAATATGGGCGCTTCCAAGCTTCTAACACTGGGGTAATTGGTGGTTAACCAAGACCTTCACCTCCTTGGATCCTTAACCTATTTTGGCAAGGCTGGACGCGGATCGCGTCAACGGGACCAGATCTTCGGTACGGAGGAACGGGTATCTTCTGCTGTGCAGCCTATCATCTTACGAAACGCAAGGGTATTCGCAATCCCGTGTGCCAGATACTCGCAATACCTATGGTCAACAGCTTTCCCATGTAACGTGCACAGATACGAATGCCTGTCCGGACCTACAGCTTCTGCACAACTTTGAACAGCCGAATGATGAACAATTTGCGGTTGAACACGAGAACGATATGCACAGAGCGAGTTAGTACTATACACAACCGTGAATCGAGTGAAGTGACCTTGATCACGGTCATGTTTGGTGTGTGCATGCTGCGATCCACAGCAGTACTCCTCTTGGTGCTGAGAAATGCCACGGATGCCGCATTTGATTCGACCGGAGGACGCACTGGATCTGGTGAGGAGTACTTAGTCCGAGAGATTGCATACACATACTGCCTTCCATTGCTCCGTGGGTGTTGTTGTCATGCTCGATACCAAGTCGCCAAGTCCTTAGCCTGCGTTGACGCGCTTGGCAGTTGTGTCCTATGCAAGGACGTCGAGCTTCTCCACATCCAATGTTGCTACTGTATGAGGTAAGTGGGTATGACAAAAGATGATTCTTGGTGGTGAATGGAAGCATAATGACATATCAGTAAGTCTAAGATGCTTCGACAGACAACGTCGCGATGTGAGGCTCTTCGACGGCTTGTCGTTATTCTTGCCCAGCCGGATAGATCGGTATGAGATGCATCGCGGCTGCGTCTCTACAAATTGATTCGAGCGGGAAGGCTGAAACATTGCAGCAGTACTGCGCCTCGGGCGGAATAATAGATGCTTGTGCGGCGGTCTTCTGCATTCAAGAGGAAGTACGCCTGTTGTGCAGAGCGGGCAAAGGGATGTGATAGACGGCCAAGTACCGAGCCGTTGCCCAGCATGAGGAGGATCAGTAGAGATATGGCGCCGCTGACGATGATGATGAGAGATGATGGATGAACGAAGGCGGAACCGCTGGTGAATGATGGGACGAGGCAGGGGCAGCGCACCTTGGAAGGCGCGTCGCTTAGTCATCACGCCCTAAAACTCACGGCGCGAAGACACACCACGACTTGGAGATGCAGTGCTAAGCTCTCAAGACTTGCACATGAGATCCAAGGCACCATTCGACCGATTTAGCCCCACGTGTTTATCCCTGCTCGCCACGTGTCCATTGCGAGAAATCCGTTTGAAAGGCCGCGGTGAAGTATTGGCATGGAAGAGGGGAAGGTTCATGAGCTATTCTCTAATGCTGCCAAACAGCCACTAGTGCCTTGATGAGTTCCTCCGTCACTCGGACACCTGTACAGATCTCTTCTTCGGTCTCCAGTTGCGGCACTTGGAAGAACACAACGTCTCGTCCGCCTGTCCGATTTTGCATCTTGAGTAGGCTGATGAAGTAGTTGAAACCACACACATACGAGCCCATATCATCGCTGAGCCTGACGTCGACAGCTTGTCTTAATTTTCCCTTTCCTTTCGTCTTCGAAACCCCGATAGAAGATAAGCTTGCCTCCATATGTCAGCTGCTGCATCGATATTGATCGTCGTCGCCAGAGATGATGACACTTCTGCAAAGGTCCTTTTGTTATCTGCTCTCGTAAACACCCGCTTCTCGATATCTGGAATAATGTGACATCCATCTCTTAGGGCACTACTTTCGATCTCGAATACCCCCGCTGTCGACATCGAGACTCATATGCAGTTGGATTGTGTGTGAGTGGACTATTCGACTACGCTGGTCGAGCGACGCGTATGAAGCGCATTTTAATGTCGTACGATGGCCTTACCCATCACGAGGGCCAACACGCGCGAGCGAAAGTTCTGTACGCGTAAAGCTTAGAACGGGCAGGGCGCTGATGGTATTGGGCGAAGTTGGTGTTGGAAGCGTGAAGCGGTGGCGCGGTCGGGGATGACATGGGTTCCCCACGTCAGGCATGCAAGGTCCGGTAGCGGTGCACTT